AAGGCTAAAGGAATTTATCACCACCAAACCAGGATTGCAGGAAATGTTAAAGGGACTCCAGTAATAAGCAGACTGCTCAGTGGGGCTTCCCTGTGAGGCCATCTGGACCAGGGCTTTTGTCTGCTGGGAGTTTTTTCATTACTGCATCAATTTCATCAGTTGTTATTGGCCTACTCAGGTTCTATGATTCTTCCTGATTCAGTTTTACATGATCTCACTCATATGTGTAATCTAATGAACACAATAAACTGATGAACAAAATAGATCCAAAGACACAGAAGCATGGAACAGACTGGCGAATCTCAGAGGGAAGGTGGGGGTGGTGGGTGGGAAGAGATTAACCAAAGAACTTACATGCATATATGCATAACCCATGGACACAGACAATAGTGTGGTGAAGGCCTGGAGTGGGGGCTGGGGTGGGGTAGAACAGGTCAAGGGGAAAAAAAGGGGGACATCTGTAATACTCTCAACAATAAAGACAAATTAAATAAATAAATAAATAAATAAATAAATAAATAAATAAATAAATAAATAGAAGTACCTGAGTAAACCAGCCTGGGGGAACTAATTGCTCTAACTGTACCATGTGGCTCTGAAATGCCAACCCCTTTCCCCAGGAAAGAACCTTGGAGAACCAGACCCCCTGCCCTGCCCCACCCAAACCATCATAAGGGTCATGTATTACAGATAATTGAACTTTCTATGTTTCCAGTAATTTGGGGGTGGGGATAGAATATAAAAATAAACAGTCTGCTGCACAGCGCTGCTGTGAGCAAAAGCTCCCTAGGAACAGCCCTGCAGGGGTAAGGGCTCTGTGATTTAATGACTCTGGTGGAGCCTATAGATCCAAAGAACACTGTGCATGGCATTAAATGGCAAAATTCTTTCCTTCCTTTTCTCCCTCCCTCTCTAGCACATCTTAGGTCTCACCATCAGATGCCCTGCCTCCCTCCTCTGGGTCTTTTCTCCCCAGATGCCCAGGCCCCTGAGTTTCAGTTGCAACACAGGGTCATGTGTAGGACTGCGAGTTCTGAAGTCAGACAGACCACTTCTCAATTTGCTTTGCCTCTTATTAGCTGCAGACTCTGTTTCTCAACCTGTTTCCCTCTCGGTTAGATGTAGATAAGCTGGAATTCACGCGCAGGCTCCGTGTGGAAGTCAATGGTAGGATGGACGCCTGGGGTAGTTAGCACAGTGCTGGGCTGGTCCACATTCGTTCATTGGTCTTTACGACCTGTGTCAACAAAACGATCACTGCCACCAATCTAATGCCAACAGGAGCCCCAATCTGGGGTGCAGAGAAAGGAGTAACTTCAGGCAACCAACTTGCGAACAGGAAACACCCCTAAAGCTGAAGGGGGCTCCTCTAACAGGAAGGCCCATTTAGAGAGAGAAATACCTGCTTGATTAGGGTCTAGCTGGCACTGTCCTGATTGGTCAGAATCCTGCATCCCAATTGGTTATCATGGAGCCACTCTGATTGGTTCATAAAGATGCAAATGAGGACATGGCTGTGCAGCTCTGATTGGACAGGGCAATTCTCAGCCCCTTGGTCAAAATGTGATCCCAGGGACTCCTTTATAAGGTTCTGCTCGGTGGGCAGGGACAGGGCAGGAGGTTTTCACCTGATGTGCCCTGTGCGAGGTGCCTCTGTAAACAATGGCTGTTCACCTTTGGTTATGAACTTGGGCCTGGTTACCCACGAGGAGTCCTTTGGGGCAGTTATATTCCTTCCTGGGATCAACACTTGCCATTTCCTCGGCAGGTCATGTTTGTTCAAGCCTCTGTCATGTGCCCCTTCTCTGCCTGGACCCAAGGACATGGTACCCACCCTGAGACACACTAGTATGCCTGCCCTGCTCCTGCAGACACTTTCATTCCCCTCTACCCAGGAGGCCCAGGACCATGTGTCCTTGGTAAGTTGTGTTCACAGTTCCTAACCCAGTGCCTGGCCACTGGAGGTAATCAATTAGTATTTCCTGCATCAATGAGTGAATGAATACACAGTAGGCACTGTGACCAGCCCAGGAGAGGGAGGACAGCTGAGCACAATGCAGTTGAAGGTTAGACATGTGAACCTCTCTCTGCTCACAGGCAAGCAAGTAATTCATCCCTAGAAACCTATAATGAACAACAGGAAGGAAAATAAATATCGTGTTCCTACTATGTGCAATATGACATGCTGGGTGCTTTGACAATGCTATCATAGTTAATGCTCCAAACAGACTAGGCAAGTGGGGTGAAATTATTTACCCTATTTTATAGATGATGTAACTGATATAAAGAGTAACCAATAGTGTTGTACTATTGGTTACTCCATAAATGTGTAATCGGCATTCAAACTGAAGCCTGCCCCACCTCCCAAGCACAAGGCCCTTAGGACCTCAACTCTGACTTTGAAAGTCACTTCTCCCTCCTGTCCATGTTTAACCTCAGTATAAAAGAACTTCAGGGGACTTGGTAAATACCCAGCGTGTCCACACTGAACACCAGCCCAGTGCAGTTAGCATTCTTCATGGGGATTTATAAATTAAAGATCAAGATTTTAATGATTTCAGGGTCACTGACGATGCATAGCGGCACACGTTGGACGTGCATCTCAGAAATCATGTCCAGCTTTTGAGGGGGTCAGCATGCAGGACTGACCAGGCTCCGACTGTGAATTCTGTGGACAGCTGTGCACAGTTGACAACTTCTGCTAAGCAGCTGGGCGTCTACTCCTCAGTGCCATGTGGCCCTACCAGTTTTGGCCCCAGTCCCTGCGTCAGGGGACCTAGGGAGGGCAGGCTCCTCCCCTCCAGCCTCTAGCGGCACACACACATTCGTGAGTCTTTCCCTATTGTGCGTTCACCTCCTGTCTCTCCCACCAGATCGTGGCCTCTGAGGGTGGAGTTTGAGGGAGATTCATGTTTGTGTGCCCCATGCCTGGGAATAGTTAACAATCAATGTGAACAGAGTGTGGGCAGGTACTCTGCCAGTGGTTTCAGGGCTTTGTTTTTTAATCAGCAGACTCATCTCAGAGACAAGTCAACTGAAACTCAGACAGGCAGAGTAATATGCCAAGGTGATGCAGGTAAGGAGTTACAGAGCTGGGTTCAAGCCCAGGCTCTCCGCCTGCAATCTGGATGCTCCACCATCTCAGTGCAGCCTTCCTGCTGCATGGACAAAATCACCTTTCTGGAATATTGCTCTGCCCTTCACACCCTGGGTCTATCAAATGGCCGCCAACTCCCCTGGTTTGCTGAATAAAGCCAATATCCATCACCTCTCATCTCTGTTCTTCTAGGATCTGGCTTCTGGTTGATCCTTGTGCCTTTCTCCTTAGAGCTACAGACCAGCCAATGGGATGCTTACGGCTCACTGTCCCCATGCTGTCCCACCCGCGCCCCCAAGGGTCAGCTCCATTGTTACTCTTCTTTGGAATTCCCTTCCCCCTCCCCAGACCCCAATCCCTGCAAGTGCAAAGCCTATCTAGTCTACAAAGCCCTGATCACAGGCCACCTCCACCAGGAAGCTCCCCTCCACTCATCCCAAGTGGGAAGTGTCCTTCCTCCCCCTGAAGGCCTGACGCACACCTTCCCTTCCTGGCTTAGGGCAACCTCCACTTTCCTTCCTGTATTAGAGCAGCCTTCAGGCTCTGCGGGGGTCAGATGAAGGGTGGTAACAGTGAAGGCCAAGTGCAATGATACCAACTACCACTGCATCTGTCTGTCCGTCTGCTAATATACCTGCATGGGATTTCAAGAAAGGGTCCTTAGAGGAAACAAATCTCGACCTCAGTAAGCCGGATGGTGGGTGATGTCAAGCGACCCAGGGCTGGGCAGGGTGCAGCAGGACTCGCCTGCATGTGGCCAGTGCTGTGCACAGTGCAGGGGCTCACGACGGTGTGGGACTTACCCTGAGCACCTGGACTGGAACGTCAGTCAAACCGTGTCGTGAAGGCCCGGTTGTGAGTACAAAGTGGAACAGAGGGTGCTGCCACATCTGGGCTGGCAGCAAATCAAATGCTGGCACAGATAATAGGTGCAATCATCAACCTCCAACACTGGGCCCCAGAGCAAACCTACATGCTTTAGAGGGAGAAAGAACATCGCGGTTGCATGCTAAGGGCCCTGGATCCAGAATGGGAGGCCTGGAGGGGGAGGGGGAAGCCCTAACCCAAGATCTTGATTCAGGAGGGGAAATGTAAACCAGCCTAAATTCTCAGGCAGAGACCAATTTTATTCTATCCACCTTGCCTCCTTAGAATAGGAGGTGAAGAGTAAAAAGTGCATTTTTTTAAAAAAGCAAGAGTGCCAAGACCGTAAGCTGAGACCCCACCTGATGGCGGTGGGAGAGTCATCAACTGCGGTTACTTCACTCGGTAAAAAGCGCCCTCGACACTGGAGGGTGGGGCTTGGTCCATAAGCCTGGACCCCTCCTCTTTCCCCTGTAGGTCACTTTCTCTGATGGCTGTCTCTGTCTCACCAGGCTGCACAGCAGTCCCAAATGAAGACTCAGCACCTCTGTGGGGTCAGGAGTTGGGGATGTGATTTGGGAAGATGCTGGTGGGCATTGGGGGGTCTCTGAAACTTGAAGGGCCAATGCAGTGTGAGCCATGTCTGAGAATTGATGCAGAGATTTCCAGAAGCAGATCATACAGGGTAAGGGGGGGGGTGTTCGTGCTAGGGGTGGGGGTCCTATATTGCTGGTGATGCAAATTGCCTTGCCCACCCAAAGGAGGACATGGAGAGCCCCTGTGGCGGCCGGTGGATTGGCAGGGAGCACAGAGAAGAGCAGCATGGAGAGCACCGGTCTGCAGCCTCCCTGCCTGGGTCCCCCGGGTGCCCTGCAGAGCCTGGCAGCCCGCCCCCTGGCTCTGTCCCACAGGGTGTGTCCTCTAGAGCTCCTGAGCCGGCTGCCCTTCGGCCTGCTCCTCCATGGGCTGCATGGCCTCCTGCACGTAGACGATGAATTCCGAGGGCTCCCCACCCTGGGTGTAGACAGTCACCGTCTCGATGCCCTCCACATCGTCAGAAGACACCACCAGGTGATGCTGCTCGGCCAGCTCCACGGACGCCTGCTGGAGGGTCTCCTGAATCATTACTGTGTGGTTGGAGCTGGGCTCCTCATCGGTGACCTGTGGGAGGGCAAGAGAAAGGTCACACAGGTCCTGCCTCTGGGTCTAGCTGAGACAACGGAATCACCACTACTGCTTATGGAGCATCTAGAACATTCCAGAGCTCGTCCCTACAGCATGTCATCCTCTCCAGAGTGCTCTGCGCTCTCACTCCCGGTGTACAATGCAGAGTGAAGCACAATGCTGCAAAGCCACATGGCCGGGGGCCCAGCTGTGGCTGCTGGTGACACCCAAGTTCAAACCCAGGTCCAAGCTCTTCTCTTAGCACCAAGCAGCCTCCCAGAAGTGCGGAGGTTGCTGAGGGTATGCAACTGAAAGGAGGCATAGCAGTTATTTACTGCATTTGTGTTGGCAGAAGGGGGTGTGGGGGGCTTGGGAATTCAGAGCCAGTCCACTTGGCTCTGAGAAAGGGACTAGGTTTATCCCACATTATCTGTATCCACACACCCTGGGAGCTCAACTCCGTCTGAAGATCCATCTCACCCTAGGAAGGGTAGATGCCCTGCAGGGCGAACTGTCCCAGGTGCCTCCGTCCACACTAATTCCTTTACCCTGTGGGGATGCAGCCTGCGGACGGAAGCTCACTGCGAGGGCTGGGCAGGAGAGTGCACCTGTCAGGGGAGGGGGCCTGCTGAATTCTCTGCGGTTCCAAGTAGGACTCGGAGGAAAGTAAAAGGGCCTGGGATTGTTTCACTGGGGAATGAGCATCCTCAGATGAATGGAGGATGTCAGAGAGACAGACTTCCCAGGTGGGTCCGATGGCAACGTGGAGAGAATCCCTGCTACGACCTGCTCGAGGCAGGTTTCAAACAGCAGATGTGAGGCCTGGGTCAGACACTGCCACCTAAGCCCCTCAGGTCCCCACTTCGGAGGACTGCTGGGAGAGCGAAAGGAGATTCTGTGTGCACAGTGGGTGCTAAAAACATCACTGCCCTCTCATGCCTTCATCCATTCATTCAACAATGCTGCTTACTAACTGAAGAGGACTGCGAATGTCAACCACTCATTCATTCAACCCGACCTTCATCATCTCGTCAGGTCCCACTGGACTAGGCGGAATGCGGGCAGGAACCATGCTGTCTGGGCACAGCCCTATTCCCAGAGCCAAGCTGGATGCCTGGCACACAGGAGGCACTCGTATTTGCTGAATAATGATCCACTAGTTGCCCGATTTCACGGCCGGTGCACAGTGGGGCACCAGTCTGGTGGGGAAGACACAGCTGCAGAAAGAACCATGGGCTGCAGGGCTGGCTGCTCCCACCAGGGGGCGGCAGTGCAGGGTGAGTGGGGGTCAGAGAGGGCAGAGGTGAGAAGGTGGCAGTGACTCCCAGGAGACGCAGGGCGAGGTGCGCTTGCTCACGCAGCTTCCATGAGCTCCTATACATGCCGCTCTGACTCCCGTCCCAGCTGGCTGGGGGCTGCTTCCTCCCTGCCCATCCCTGAGTAGCACACTATGACTCCATGCGATATCTGGAGGCCCCAACTGGCTTGGAGGGGTCTCACTCCAGCCCCAGGACTGTGCCATTGCCTGTGAGCAGGCCAGGCTGTGACAGCGGGGAGGAGTCCTGTTTTATTCAGAGAGGAAAATGGAAAAGGCCCCTGTGGGGTGGGCTCCGCACGAAGGTATGGATTGGAAGGGACTTTTGACTTGGCCGACAGAATTCACCAGAAGCTAGAGAGCTATTCTGAGGGAAAATTATTAATACATTTAGCCTGATTTGTTTTTCTGGAGTGAATTGAGACCTTTTTTTTTCCTTCTTTTACTGCTTGTTTCAATTTCATTTAAATGGGAAAATGTACTGTGAAGTAAGACTTTAGAAGTAAATATTGATTTATTTCACTCTGAGAGCGAGTACCTGGCAGAAGGCTGGGGACAGGGGAGGGAACACACGACAACATGCTTTTCTCCTCTCAGTAATTTCCACACAGAGGAAAAAGATGGGGGAGCGGGGATTTATGCTGAGGCCCCATGACCTCACAGGTGCAAAACAAACCTGCAGTTCAGGCGAGCAATGAGACAGGCTGAGAGAAGACACTGGGCAAAGCAGCCATGTGCCCATAGCCCCCTGGGCTGCCGGCCACTCCTTGATGGCCAAGCCACTGGGCTGAGTTCTGTGTTCACCCTTCTAGAAGACTCTGTGCCATCTGACACTGTGAACTGCCCTCCTAGCTGCTTCCACACCCTCTACTGGGCTCTATTCCCAGCCCTCCCCCACTGCTTGTCTGCTGGCCCGGCCCACGAAACCGAGAGCACTCCTGGTCTCCATCCTGACTCCTTTCCTGGAACCCTCATCTGTATCGGCTTCAGGTCCTGGCTAAGCCCAGATGCCAGACCCTGCTCCTGAGCTAAACACCACAGGTCCACGCATGGGAGCTTCTCAGGATGCCTGCCAAACGTGTCCAAGTCAGAGTAGCGTGAGTGGTGGGTAAGAGGAGGCAGGTGAGGCCTGAGAGGACGTTTACAGTCAGATCTTGAGCCTTGATCCCAGCTGAGAGACAGACGCAATTTTACAGAGGGAGACACTGAGGGCTTTCGAAGGAGGGCCCCACGTCATTCAACCTGCAGCCTTTGTGGATGGAAACTTGCCCACCATGAGGCTTACTTCTCTCCCTGTCCCTCCAAATACTGACTTTTTTGTTGTTGTTAATCTTCACCTGAGGATATTTTTCCCACTGATTTTTAGAGAGAGTGGGGAGGGAGGGAGGGAAGGAGAGAAGTAGAGAGGGAAACACTGATGTGAGAGACACACATTGATTGGGCCCTGACTCAGGCCTAGGATCAGACCTACAGCCCAGATACGTGCCCTTGACCAGGAGTCAAACCCAGGATCCTTCGGTGTGCGGGGTGATGCTCTAACCACTGAGTACACTAGCCAGAGCTAAATACTGACGTTTGTCCAGATTCCTTTCCAAGTATTAAGTCTACTTAAAGTCTATTTAAAGATAATCCTTCTCTAGCTCTCTTTCCAGTTTTCAGCTCCAGCATTTTGTCTGCTGGAATCTCCACCAAATGCATCCACTGCTAGTTATGAGAACACAAACATGGTCCTGTGGGACCAAGAGAGCGATGGAGACAGAGGTAGCAGTGCATTGCACAGAAGTCCTGCAGAGCATCCTTCCCAGGCCCCACAGCTGCAGTGGGGCTACACGCTGTTGCTCATTTCACCAAGCACACGGACCCGACAACATCCAGGGTCCCTAAGGCCCCTGCTGCTCACCCATGGGCCGCGTTTCCATGCCCATGGGCTTTCCCAAGTGGCTGTGCCAGCCCCGAACGTGCCACTGGTACAGACGCCTCACTCTGTGTACAGCCCACAGGGGAACGCTGTAGGAGGGGGGTTAATGGGGTGTAGGCTGCTTTACAGAGGGGTCCCTGAGGCTTCTGCGGGGTGCACCCTTCCCCCGCCTCCATGCACCCCAGTGTTACATGAATTATACTGTTTCTGTTTTATGTTTTTGCAAACCATGGACTTCCTTCCCTGTCCCCACGGAACCCCGCATCCACCGGGCCCCTTGCAGTTTACCGAGCTCTCCCAACATCATCCCAAGCGTTTCCTCACAACATCTTGTGGCGTGAGCATTTCTGTCCCCATTCACAAGTGGGAACATGGAAGACTCTATAGGTCCAGGGACTCACTGAAGGTCAGACAGCTTGGTCTGTGTGACCCCAAGTCAGACACCTCCCTCAGAGGGTGCAGTGTGACAACAGCTAAGAAACTACATGCCACAGGTGAGCAGGTTGAAATCTTACTCTGACCTGTCCCAACCAGTTTACGGCTGGCTGTCTAGCTCTCAACCGTTCTCTCTGCTCAAGACGATCACTCCAGGAGCCTCATCTATTAGCAGAGGCTGAGGATTGCTCTCCATGGTAGAGATGATATGGCTTTGCAGTGTGATTATCCCAAGATGGGCACTCCATTCTCCCCGAATGCTGATCTCACACATCTCGCAGATAAATTATGAGCAGCACAGATAGCTTAATAGAAAGCCTTAACCCACAGGACTGTACAAATTATCCACAAAGCCGGCCCGAGTCCTGCACTTCTGCCAGCCTCCAGTGTTCTTCTGGGCCTGGACCGGCTCACTGTCCGACCAGAGGCCAGGTGCTCTGCTGGGCTCGGCTCACGTGGGGGGGGTGGAAGAGCAGCTTCCTGCTGAGTGCCCAGCCCCCAGCTCTCTGATGGTGGCTGCAAGGGGTCTCTCCCCACCCCTCTCTCGAGCATGTGCCTCGCTTGTCTTGCTTTTTTCTTCCTCTCCTGCCTACCCTGCTTGCCGCCCCTCTCCCAGTTCCCCTCTCCACATCCTCTGTAAACACCATTCCAAGCAGGTTGGCTTTCTCCCTCCCAACATTCCAGAAACTCCCTAGAAGTGCCCAGCTGGGGAAGCCCTCCTTAAGGAGAGGGCTCCCTGCGCTCCCACCCTGTGCAGCTCCCACTCAGCCCTTTCCCAGAGCTCTGCTGCAGTCCATCCACGCATCTCTGCACACACCTCCCCCCGACATGCATAGCTCCAGACTGTTCTCTGTATCATCACTTCCAGGTTCTACCGGTGGATAGTTCTGGAGGTGCCACCAGTCTCCGGGTGCCTGCCCAGACTGCGGTGCTGGGCAGGGACAGAGAGGCCCGTCCTTGCTCTCAAGAAGGGGGAGACAGGTGCAGTGTCTCAACCCCCAAAACGCACTTTTCTGTGTCATAGACTGCACCAGCCATGATCTCTCCCCAAGACACCCAGCAGCGCAGAGACATCCAAGGATGTCAGAGTAGGACAAAGGAAGATTAACGGAAGAAAGAGCTGCAGGTCACAACTGGATCCCACAGAGTCGCCAGTGAGAAGAGAGCGAAGGTTTACTAGCTGGAAATTTTAAAGTAACTTTTTTTTTTTTAATTCTCACCTGAGGATATTTCTTCCATTGCTTTTTAGAGAGAGTGGAAGGGAGAGAAGAGAGAGAGAAACATTGATGTGAGAGAGACACACCGATTGGCTGCCTCCTGCACCCACCC